GTACAGTTATCGCAGCCATATATATATATATATTGCCTTCCAATATATATATATTGCCTTCCTTCCTTCTTTTTTCTTCTTTCCCTCATCCCAGTCATTCCTTCCTTTGAGCAGTTTCTTTCCCTTTCCTATCATCTATTGTATGTTCTGAGTTTTGTTTATTCTTTCAGGTTCCTACACCAGGGAGACAATATAATGTTTATACCTGTGGGTCCGATTTATTTCACTTATGAGTATGGTCTCTAGTTGCATCCACTTACACAAAAGCCTTGAGTTTATCTTTTTTATAGCTGAGTAATATTCCATTGTATAAAAATACCACATCTTTTTTATCCACTCTTCAGTTAATGGGCATTTGGATTGTTTCTAAGATTTAGCTATTACAAATTGTGCTGCTATAAACATGGGTGCACATATATCGCTGTGGTATGATGCTTTTAATTCTTCTGGGAAAATACACAGAAGGGGAATAGCTGGGTTAAGTGGGTGCTGTTTCCCCATGTGCTCACCAGCAATGCTACAGTCTATTGACTTTAATTCCTTTGCGTATATACCAAAGAGTGGGTCATAAGTTAGCTCTACTGCTGGTTTTTTACTTCCATAGTGACTTCATGCTGACTTCCATAGTGGCTGCACCAGCAATGCCAGCATGTATCATTGATTTGTATTCTCGATGGTAACCATTCTGGCAGGGATGAACTAGAATCTCAGTGCAGTTTTTTTGATTTGCAGTTCCCTAATGGCTAAAATTGTTGAACATTTGTTCATATAATTATTGCCATTTGCATTTCTTTTGAGAGGTGTCGTTCAATTCTTTTGCCTATTTATTGGTTGGGCTGTTATTTTGATGCTAAGTGTTTGGTATTCATGATATAGTCTCAATAGTCTGTGTTGGAAGAATAGCTGGCAGAGATTTTCTCCCATTCTGTAGATTGTTGCTTCGCTCTGTTGGTTGTTCCTGCGTTATACAGAAGCTTTTTAATTTCAATATTCTACATATTGACAAGCAGCTTCCCTGCACCATTTGTTAAAGAGGCTGTCATTTCTCTACCATATGTTTTTGGTCCCTGTGTCAAAAATCAGATAGGGGTAGATGGATGGGTTAAGTGGGTCCTTTTTCCCCACGTGCTCACCAGTAACGCTACAGTCTATTGACTTTAACTCCTTTGGGTATATACCAAAGAGTGGGTCATAAGTTAGCTCTATTGTAGAGCTATGTCTTCTATTCCATCCCATTTTGTCTATGTCTCTATTTTTTGTGCTAGTACCATGTGTTGTTATTTTTCTTGTTATC